GAACTAGACATAAGACCTGAAACCATAAAATACATAGAAGGAAATATAGGCGAAACACTACGTGATTTGCATATCAAAGACATCTTTACAGACACATCACCCAAAGCAGTGATAGTGAAGGCAAAGATCAACAGCTGGGACTACATCAAATTAAAGAGCTTCTGCACAGCAAAAGAGACAATAACAAAAACAAAGAGAAACCCCACCAACTGGGAGAAAATTTTTGCACCCAACACTAATGATAAAGGACTGATCACAAAAATCTGCAAAGAGCTGATGAGACTCAACAACAACAAAGAAAATAATCCAGTCAAAAAATGGACAGAGGAACTAAAAAGAAACTTCTCTGAAGAGGAAATGCGAATGGCCAACAGGCATATGAAAAAATGTTCAACATCACTTGCAATCAGGGAAATGCAAATCAAAACTACCATGAGATACCATCTTACACCAGTGAGAATGGCACATATTAAAAAAACTAGCAACAACAAATGTTGGCGAGGTTGTGGAGAAAAAGGAACTCTTCTGCACTGTTGGTGGGAGTGCAAACTGGTCCAACCACTATGGAGAGCTGTGTGGAGATTTCTGGACCTACTAAACATAGAGCTTCCACAGGATCCAGCAATTCCACTCCTAGGTATTTACCCAAAGAACACAGAAACATCAATTCCAAAGAACACCTGCACCCCTATGTTTATAGCAGCACTGTTTACAATAGCTAAGCTTTGGAAACAGCCCAGATGCCCAAAAATAGATGACTGGATCAAGAAGATGTGGTACATATATACCATGGAATATTACTCAGCATTCAAAAAAGATAAACACATGCAATTTGCAGCAACATGGATGACGCTGGAAGGGATCATGCTCAGTGAAATAAGCCAAAAAGAAAAAGAAAAATACCGGATGGTCTCACTCATAGCAGGGATCTAGAAAACTTAAATAAGGGACCAGGAAAATGAATAACTATAAGAAAGTGAAAATTAAAATCAACAAAAACTATGAACCAGAGACACTTTTTGGGGGGTGGGGGGTGGGAGGGGAGGGATTGGGGTCAGAATGGGGGGATTGCAATTGTATGGGGAATATAAAAATAAAATTTATTAATTAAAAAAAAATAAAAAAATAAAATAAAATTCTCTTCTTTAAAAAAAAAAAAAAAAAAGAGTGGACAAATAGACCAATGGAACAAAATACAGACCTCAGAAAGAGACCCCCACAAATAAACAGCAGATCTTTTAACAAGGTGGCAAAACAATACAACAGAGCAAAGACATGTCTTTCCAACAAATATTCTGGAACATCTGAATGTCCACTTGCAAAATATTAACCTTGACACAGACTTTCCACCCTTCATGAAAATTAACTCAAAGAGGATCACAGACCTAAACATAAAATGTAAAACTATGAAATTTCTAGAAGAAAGCATAGGACAAAAGCTAGGTGGCCTTGCATATGGTGGTAACTTTTAAAATGCAACACTGATTGATGAAAGACATACTGATAAGCTTGACTTCATTAAAATTAGAACATTCTTCCTCTTAGAATGAGAGTACAAGCCATAGGCTGGAGAAAATATTTATTAGCAAAGGACATACCTGATAAAGGACGGTCGTCCAAAACATGCAAAGAACTCTTAAAACTCAACAAGAAGATTATGAATAGTCCGATCTAAAAATGGGCAAAAGTCTTGAGCAGAAACCTCACTAAAGAGGATATGCAGATAGCATATAAGCATATGAGAAGATTCTCAAAGTCACACGTCATTGGGAATTACAAATTAAAAACAGCAACGATATACCACTACACAGCTATGAGAATGGCCAAGATCCATAACACTGGTGACACCAAATGCTTGTGAATGACAGGAATTCTCATTCATCATCAATGGAAAGCAGTTTGGCTATTTCTTAGAAAACTAAATCTACTCCTACCATATGATCCAGTATTATGTTCCTGGTATTTAACCAAAGAGTTGAAAGAACTTATGTCCACACCAAAACCTGCACTTGAATGGGTCTGAAGATCAGGTGCCTCTAGGGGCTCAATGTTGATTTCAATACCTATAAGTGTCAGCAAATATCCTTGTTGACTGTAATATTCACTGGCACATTCAGGGTAATCAGGCTCCCTAGCGGCACCTTCCTCAGAGTGCTGTATTGGCGACTATTCTGTAAATTTGCATTTTTTAAATATTTGCAGTATTTTAAAATAAAAACAGTGAATCTTTACAAAACCTGAACACAGATATTTATAACAATTTTATTTAAAAGCTGGACGCAAACAACTCAGTAATGTGTATTTAAGGTTTCTCCACATCTTTTCATGATTTAATAGCTAATTTATTTCTAGTGTTGAATAATGTTCCATTGTGTGAATGGGCCACAGTTTATTTAGTCAGTCACTCACCCACCTACACGGATATCTTGGTTGCTTCTAAATGACTTATTGAATGATTCCAACAATATCATGTTCTGGAAAAGTAAAACTATTGGAGATAGTAAAGGGGTCAATGGTTGCCAAGAGTTAGGGCACAAGGGAAAGATGAACAGGCAGAGCAGAGTGGATTTTTAGGGCAGTAAAATTATTATGTATGATATTACAGTGCTGGGTACGGGACATAAATTTATCCAAGTTATGGAGAATCTAACACCAAGAGTGACCCCAAATGTAGACTGAATAATAACAATGTGTCAGTGTAGACTGACTGATTCCAGCAAGTGCCCCACTCTGCTAGAGATGCTGATACAATGGGACTGGCCATGCCAGTGTGGGGCCAGGGAGCACATGGGAATCTCTATACTTTCCACTCAATTTTGCTGGGAACCTAAAATTGTATAAAAGTTAAAGTCTACTTTTATAATACCTGTTTCTGGAATGAAACCAGGCAGCTAGACAGCCTCCTGCTGCACCTCTTGGCTGGGTCACTAGTCTGCACAGCACAGACCCCCAACCCAAGCTGGAAGAACTCAACTGAGCCTTGTTGCGAAGATGGTCAGAGTCAAAGGTGTGTTTGGGGAGAGGCGCTGATGGGAGGAGACTTTCTCAGACAGTGAAGATAACCAAGCAAGCGCCCCCTCAGCCTGCTCATCCCATTCACTCAACGAATGTAGTCTGCAAATTATCAGGCGGGTCACATGCTCTGGGCAACAACTCTCTGCTCTGAATTCTCCGTCCACTCCCCTTAACAACAGCTGCCTTTTGATACTCAATTCCCCCTACCTGCCCCTGCCCACCTACACCAGTGAAAATCCTCTTCTGTCTCTTCTGGAGGAGACATAAAGGACAAGAATTAAGCAACTGAATGAAGAGAATTTCTTAGCCAGTGCAACTTGGCTATATAATAATTTAGCCACTGGCGCCCTCTGGCGTTGAAAATCTGGACATGTCCTTCCCAACAAAACAGCTTGGCGGGCAGGTCAGCAAACTGGAAATGGTCTTTGAGGACTCCATTTTCTATTTTTAAAAACTCTCCTATTTTCCTGGGAGAGCAGCGCAATTGTCTTATTATGTGAAAAGAAAAATCCCGACAACATGTCAGCTCACATGGGCTATATGCGATGGTGACTTAGACAATGTGCAAACACAAGGCAATGCTGACTGAGAAGGGGGAACTTGAGATAACTGAGGCAGCCACAGCTGGGCTCTCAGAGGCTGGGGATGACTCCGGAGACAGCAGACCAGTCAAAAGAAGGTGGGTGTAACAGCTCGAACCAAAAGAAGCCTGAGGTTCATTCTCCGTAATGTGGGCTGAACAACCATCCAAATTCCCAACCATCCTGCCTCCGCCACCGTTGTTGACCTCCAAGGGCAGGGTTAGGTTAACCACCATGGCCACCCTCCTCTGCCTTTTGACAGCTTCTCTTTCTAGGCTGCCTCTTCTTGCTCATTTTTTCCTGGTTTCACCTGTAAGAATTATGGTGGGAACAAACAGCAGCTTTGCTCTTTTGAAGGAAGACTCATCATTCTCCCTCCTCCCAATTATTCATCACACGTCTGTGGGGGTCCTGTCAAGGGCTGGGTGGGACTGCAGCAGTGTCCTCCTCACTATGGGGGGCTTGGTCCACTGAATTTCATTTTCTGTCATCCATCCCACCATTCCGGGGAGAAATTTTGTTTCTCTGTGGCCACGCTTTGCATAGCTGAGACTCAACAAGGATTGCAGTGAGGTGGGACAGGCAGTTGGGAATTCTTCCAAAGCAAGTATTTGATCTTATGAGAACAATGGCAAAGCCACACCTGGGAAGATAGGGAGGCCTGTGTGTCCCCACAGAAATCTCTTTATGTTTGGGTGACTTGGCCCTTGAGGGTGAACAAGGGCAATGGTTTATTTCACAACAAGGTCCAGTCAGCCATGCCATGCCTGGAGACAGAAAGTAAACAATGGTGAATAGGAAATGTGTGATTGCATAATGGAAGTTATCAGGGGCAGGAGAGTGACTGACTGCAGAGGCCTGGGCAGATGAGATGGGAGGTGGGTCAGAGGGGGAGCTCTTAAGGGTCACGCCAGGCACCACATGTCACCAGACAGAGACTTGGGTGTAGGTCAAGTCCACATGACCCCCAAAGCCTATTCTGATCATCCATGTCCTTTCTTGCCTGTAAATTGCTCACACTTGTTCTGACTCATTACTTGAATTACTGTTTATTATTTAACTCATTATGTTTAATGTCTAAGTAGAGTGCAAATTTCTAGAAGGCTAACGTAATACTTGATCTCCAGTCCATGATGCCTTGAATGCCATGTTTTTCAGTGTATTCTTACTCAGAGGATTTTAGTGAAACTTGGGGCCAGTATAAATAACAATTCTCAGATGAGATACCAACTGTTAATAGGGGACAGAAATCCTAAATTCACTACACAAGCACTTTATGATCATGCAAAATTAAATGTCAATGCAAAAGAAGGTAAAGTAGTCAGTTAACATGACTTAAATGTAACACATTGGGGGGACGGGTGTGGTGCGTGGGGGTAGGAGGCAGGGCACTGAGCACCTTACCTTTGCACTGCAAGCCCTGTCGCAAGAGGCCCCAGAGCAAGGACCCACAATGGTCACAGAAGGTGGGCACCTTGTAGTTGTGGATTCCGAACTTGTGAGGCATGTTGACGCTGAACCTCTGGGAGCCCACCTGCAGGGACAGCAAAACAAAGGGTCACCACCGAGCTCCCTCATGCCCTGAGCTCCTACAGGGGTGCTTTCCCAGAAGATGTGTCACTGTAGGGACAGGACCTCAAAGCCACCCTGAGAAGCGAGGTGGAGGGAACCTCCCTCCTGCTCCCGGGCTTGTGCTATACTCTCTGCCACCCTGCTGGACTCTGCAGCCCAGTCCAAGCATTCAGGCCCAGCTCCATGGCACACCGCACTTGAGCAGCACCTCACATTTTGACCAGTAATGTGATGTCACTGTGTACTTTGCATTCTGTTCTTGTGCATGGAGATCTCACCTGGATCGCTCTGGCAGAAGGGTGGTGAGTACAAGATTCTGTAAATACCCTCAAACCCCAGCAGGTTGTGGCAACCGCAGCTGTTAGGACAAACAGTAACTGCCAATGCAGAGTGGCGACCACTTAGTGCTGACCACAGGCCTGGCACCGCTGTCTCCATTAAACCTCACCTCCCTCTGGGGTAGGCACTGTCAATAGCATGAGTTCACAGATGAGGAAACGATGGGGCAGTGAGGTTAAGGAGTGTGCTGGTCAGCAAGTGAAGGACAGAGCCAGGATTCAATGCCTGAGTCCAAAGGCAAAGCCCACTCTGTTGCTGCTTACTGATTATTTAAAAGAGGTAAGGGAAGGGGCTGGGAGGGGAGGGGTGCCTGAGGGTAGAAGTGTCCAGGTACCTCATCATCTGCCTGGAGTCACCCAAAAGGCCTCAGGCAACTTTTCTGACTTCATGGGCTCAGAGTTTTTACCTGGAAAATGTGGATGGCAACGCCTCATCCCACCTAGGGACACAGGATCATGAGGTCAATGAGAGGCGGGAGGGGTGGGAAACAATCACTCCACAGAAGCAAGGGGTCATCACACTGTCTTTCTGGCTTTCTTGACCTCTCCACAGAGGTACTCTGCCCCTGTGCTTCCAGGGCCAGTGAAGCAGGCCTCTCTCAGAACGTGCTGGGGCCACCAGCAAGAGTTGATGGCCTGGGAGAGTCACTGTGGCGACTCTGGGAGTTAGGGAGGAGAAAACGGGCAGCAGAAGAGCTGCCCCTGGCTCGCTGCTGCACAGTGAGCAGAAGCCCCAAGGAGGACTGAGAGTGAGCCAGACAAAGATGTGGGTGAGAACATGGGCTCAACTCGAGATAGGAAGGCAGGTCTATGTGCACGAACATGCCATGAGGGCCTGCACTTCACTGTGAGTTCCCTGCCACCCAGAAATAAGGAATGGTCCCGCCTCCCACTGGACCAGAATCTCCCTGCCCTGCTCAAGATGCATGGGCTGTGCACTGGGGTCTCGGCCTCAGAGAACGGGCAGGGAGGATGGAGGAACCACAGAACCAGATGCCACACAATCAGACCACAGCACACACACCCTGCAGGTGCACACACGTGGGGTCCCACTAAGGAAACTCAGGAAGAGGGAGCAAGAGATACAGAGAGGACACAGGGAGGAGGGAAGGGCAAACACAGTGATGAGATTAAAAAAAAAGTGAAGAAGGGGAGCAGGAAGGAAGGTGACAAAGATCATTTCTTGGTCACCACACCCAGAGGAGTGGGCAGGGCCTGAGACTGGCCGGCGGTCCTAGCAAGGGCTCACGGTGCAAGAGCTTGGAGGAGCCAGTGAGCAGAAGTCCAGCCAGGGCTGGGTTGGGCACCTGACGTCGAGACCCACATGCGTGGGGTACATGTATGAATGGCATATGCACATGCAGCAGGATGCAGCCGGTTACACAACAGAATGAAAGGTTGGTCATTCTCAAAGGCTGGTCACCAGCAATGCTGCATGTGGTGGAGGACAGGCCTATGATCCCCCCGCCCCAGGGGGATGTGGACACTAAGGGACACTGGCCTCAGGGAGCATCGGGATGGACTAAGAAACTCAAAGGCCTCTTCCCCAACCCTACCAATTTATCTCCCTCAGGACACACGCCCAGCTTGGGAGCACACTCACTGGGGACTTTCCCTGCCCAATATGATGACAGGGAAGATGGAAGAAGCAGGGGGCAGATGAAGCTGGGTTCTGTGCCTGTCAAGGCTCAACCCGCTCATCTGCAAGGCATGGGCCCAGGGGGGACTCCTCCCTCCAGGGAGCTGTGAGAGCTTAGAAACCTGTAAAAGTTCATAGTTAATGCAACGGGTCAGATCCCAAGGGTAGGTGTCATCACTGTGTCTTTGTTTCATGGAATATGGCATAAATACCGGGCACAGAAGGCGCTCAGTCAATGTTCAATAGACCATCCAGAGCCAGGAGACACCCCGGCACAAGCAAGTCGTCTATTTATTTACATGTAAAGTGATGAGTGGAAGCAGGTCCTTGGGTGTGGACCCTAGACCAGGAGTCAGGAGACCCAGGTGATGACGACTGGCTGTCACCCCCAGGACCCCGCAAACAGCACTGGTACTCGGGGCTGCCTGCACTTCAGGGACATGGAAGATTCAACATAAGCTTTGTCCTTTGCTGTTTTCCAGAGATGGTGTGAAATCAAATGTTGATTTTAAAAATTGGGAAATGCTTTGGGTGCCAAGATGCTATTTGGTACTTTTTAAGAAGCAGCTAGAGGCTCTCCAGAAGTCACTCCTTTCAGAAACCAAATTATAAATCTACTTGATCAGAACCCACACTGAGGGCATGCCCCCCATCCCCCGGGGCTTTTCTCTCTGATCCCAGTTCTAATGGCCTGTGATTCTGTGCCATGTTGCTTCGCTGAGAATTAAAAGCATGCTGAAAGCAGCTGCGCGGACAGAGATACCATGCACTCATGCCGTCTTCCTCCAGAAGAGTTTTTCGTGATCAGTGGCACTACCAATCCCTCAGTTTGGAGAAGCCTAGCTTCACTGCTGAGCTTTTTTGCTCCCTCCCTGCTAGTCCCTTCCCTAATCATCAGTTGGGTGCTAGTTTCTAAACTTAAGAGACCACATAGTGCAGAGGTCAAGGGATTGGACTCTGGAACTGGTTAACTTGAATTTGAATGTGACTTTCACCTACTAGCCGTGTGATTTGAGGCAATTTGATCTCTGCGCTTCTATTTTTTCTGCTGTAAAATGAAGATAACAACATCTTGCTTATTAAGGTGGTTTTAGGATTAAACATTATATGATAAAGTACTTAAATCAAGGCATGCAAAGTACCCAAAGGATGTTGGTTGTTATCATCATGTGGTTATTTCAACCTCCTAAGTGTTTCTTGGACTGGCCAATTCTGCTCCCCTCCCCCGCCACCCCATGAAGCTGATTCCCACTCGTGTGGAGACTCTCGCTTCTCACAAGCTGCTTAGAACCGTGGACCTGCCAGTCAGCCACTTCAATCTTCTGATGAGACAGACATAGAAGAATTGACATTTTCCTTGTGGGCTTGACCCCTGGCATCACACAGCATCATCTCTTGGCATCATATCCACGGGCAAACAGCGGACTATGAGCTGTGCATCCGCCGGAAGGCCACAAACAAATCCCTTATTTTGTGATCAACACAATGAGGACAGCAGTGCCATCTGAGAGAGATAAGGGTTTCTCGGGACTGTCGAGGAGGCAGCGGAGTGTGGGGATGGCAGTGAGGAGAGCCCTGAATCTCAGCGTTTAAATATTTACCTCGTCGGGAGCTTCCTGCTTCTTTAATCCAGCACACTTCGTAATGATCAGCTCGTGGCATCGCTTGTGGACCACGCACGTGCAAACTGCAAAAGGCAAAACAGGGACAGCTAAGCTTGGGGGGGTGTGATCTAATCAGTCTAGGGTAGAGGAGCAGGAAGCCAGGCCCCTTGGTCACTGAGTCTTAGTTTGATACCCAAGCAAAGCGAAGGCCCTATGCTGTCATTTCAAAGTGCTTTGTCATCAGAACCACAAGGGCTTGCCACGGGCTCTGAAGAAGACACCCTTTCTACCTAGGGTGATTCGCAGTTCACTCTAGTTCCAGGAGCACTGGTCAATTGTCTTGCTTCTCTATGCCCAGGTCAGAGAACCATTTTCCTCCCATGAGGCATTGTCTATTAAAGGCACTGCAATTGTCCCCTGCTCCACAGGATCATGTTGGGGTGGCTGGTGTGACAGGGAGGTCACTGCAAGTGAGTAGATGTTTTGTGGCACAGAAGTTCTTATGCTTTTTGATACTTGTACAAGCCTCACATGCCAAACTTAAAAATTTCCTTTTAATTCAGTAGATCCACAAGAAGTGGTCTGCTCTGCTTTATGTCCTGGGGCGGTGTGGGCAGCAGGTGGCTGAAGAGGTAATTGCCTATACACAGAAATGCCTATCAGAACTGTCCGAGTCCCCAGGGCAGAGACCTGAGTTCACCGGTGGCTGGCTGTGCAGGGGCTGGCCTACCAGATGGAACCACAGAAAAACCTCGCCGTGGCCACATCACACATTCACCCCCAACTCTGGACAACTTAAATGTGCATTTGTCATTAACTGATTGAAAACAAATTTCAACAACTTCAAGTAAGTTGTAAATGTTTAAGAGTTGACGATTCCACAGTAGAGACAAGAAAAAGGCATCCACGAGGACCCTTCAGGACACTGAATAAAACAGGCAGGCGGGGGACCAGCTTCAGGGACAAGGGATTAGGGAGATGCCAGAGCACACACCACTCGGCTCAGCACACAGGGCCTTCTAAGGGCCTCTCCTGAGCACATGCTCCATCAGGACAGTGAGACTGCCTTCCTCTACAGCTGGGGGAGACCCCCGGGGCACCTGGAGATCGGTGGGACCCACAAGATCCTCCCCTCACCCACTCCCATATATGTATGTGGGAGTAATGACCAGATAGAAAGCAAAGCAGGGCCAGCTTCTTGAAGAGGGAGCGTAAGCATGACCACTGAATAGAGTCTCTAAATGTCACCAAAACCCAGCAGTAGTGATCTGGGTTGATCTGTGAGTCCCCAAGGATTATTTCATACACTATCTCTTACCTTGACATTGGTATCCCTGCTTTCCTATGACACCCCTGAAAAGAAGAAATAACATTTTAGTATGACACAAAAGCCACCCCCTTCTGGCCACCCCTCCCTCCATGCACCCTGTACTCTGGAATCTGTGTAGCAGTGTGACCTCACTCTCACTTATAGGGTGCCTTAAAGTAACTCCTTAGAAGGCCCCCAGGGCAGCCTCAGTGCTTGGAATGGCTGCAAGGTGTGACTAGAATCAAGGCCAGCTTCCCAAACAGCTATTCCAGTGAGGCTAGCAGCATTCTGGAAAGCCATGAGACTGCTGGCTCAGGGCAGGCCTCCTTTATCAAACTTGCCTTTCCATGTGGATAATCGTGGAGATGGGCTCAGCAGGCAGGCTGAGCCTGGGCATTCCCAGGACATCCAGAAGCAGTCAAGGTGTCTGAGTCCGCATGTGACCAGCACTAGGAGTTTAATCTACCACCAGTAGATGGGGTGAAGGCCAATGTCAGAGGTTCATTCTAGTGCCAGAGTGTGGCTCCCAGGTTTTGGGTCAGCACACACAAAGAACAGTCCATCCAGTTTGGCCTAAGCCCTATCCTCAGTATCCCACCAACAGGTCAGGGAGCTCCCTGCAATTCCCAACTCAGCAGGAAGAGCCAGAAGTCACTCTGAATACAGGGCAGGAAACCTAGAGCTCAATGTTCATAATGGGTGTAGAGGAGACCCGCAGCTTTAAGATTAAACTTTAAGAGCCTGCTCACCCCAAACACACAGTTCATGACCAAACAGAGAAAACAGAGGTCAGAGGGTTAAGTCAGCCCTGTGGGGGAGATGTGTCTGTGGGTGGGAGTGGGGCATTGTTGCTACTGCAGTCAGGTTAAATTTGCTCTGAGCTGTGTCCTCTCAATGGCCATGCCAACCTCAGTGGATAGTTCTGGTATACCATGAGGATCAGAAATGTCACACTGGACACCCTGGGAATCCAAGGGGTCCTCAGAGCCCAATTCAAATATCCCTTGTCTGGGTGCATGCTCCAGGGGTAAGCATCACACCAGCAGGGAGGCCCAGATTTCATGTGCCTGCATCAGTAGTATTGTTAGTGGAATAGGGTTAATAGTACACAGTCCATAGGATATTGGGAAGTTTCACTGGCTACTTCCAGTGCTGAAGAGAGAACCTGGCACATGGTAAAAGCCTCACTAAAAGCCTCCCTTCAAACCCCAAGGCCAGATTTTCATTATCTCCTTTTTTTTCCTCCACCTCCCAAAAAAGGTCTAACTAGCTCCACCTATCAAATTCCCAGTCATCATGAAAGGAAAAATGCCACCTCCTCCAGGAAGCCTACCCTGAGAATTCTGGCTAACAGTACTCCCTCATTCCTCTGAACTTTTAGCACCTCAGCAGCATGCCTGTTATAACCATTACAAAGAACAGCTATGAACTACAGAGATGGGCATTTGAGTATTTCTTAATCTTAATTAAGGAACAATTCAAATGTATACAAGCATAGGAAGATGAATATAATGTTTTATCACCCATTTCCAGTGAAGACTTGGCCAGTCTTGTTTGATTTCTAACCCTAGCTCCTGTCTCTTTCTTCTACATTATTTTTTAACAAATCCAGACATCTTATCATTTCATTTGTAAATAATTCAGTTTGTTTCTGTAAAAGATAGGGATACTTTAGAAAAGCACACAAATTATACTTTTAATTGGTTATAAGATCTTAACTCCTTAAATATATGATATGATCCCAGTATAGTCACTAGGAACCATTGTTTCTGCTATCTACTTATCCTACCATGCGCCACACACTCCCTTAACCTTCCAGAACAGTCTTATGCAATCAAACAAAGAAGAAATAAGGATACATTAGCACTTTTTACATCAACTTTCAGATCTTCTGTATCTATTCCCCAGACTTGTGGCAACAGAAAAGGTATAATGAGAGGTCCCCAGAAGAGAAGGGCTTACCAGATAAAATCTCTGCAGTGGGAGCAGTAGGTGGGCTGCCGAAGGTAGGTGGCCATGAACTTGTGGCCATTGACCTGGTGGACCCTGCGTCTGACGGCACCCTGCCGCTTCCTGGGCCGCATGCGCTCCCTGAACACACGCTCTTCATTGTCTTTAGGGGCTGGAAGGACGAGAGCAGAGAAGAAAACACAAGGTGGGTTAGTGCAGCTTGAAACCTGAAAGTCAGCTCCTGTGGGAGGACTTCCCTGTCCTCTGTCCTTGGTGTCTGGAGGTGGGAATGGCTGTGGGGGCAGTGGTGGCGGCTGGAAGGATTCAAGGGTCAGAGGAACCTCACTGCTTGGCTCCAGAAGTTGAGCATCACACCAGTGGGGGAGGCCCAAACTTCATGTGCCTGCATCAGCTGCACCCTCAGCATCCACTCCAGTCTGAGCTTTGCTCCAGCTTCGGCTGCTCCATTCCTCCTACACCAGTTGCTGCTGCAGGGGCCTGGGGTCAGAAAGCTCAGGGTTCAAATCTTAGTGCAACTTCTGAGCAGTGTGACCTTTGAACTCTGCAGCATGGCCCTCTGTGCCCAGGGGCAGCAGTGCCAACTCTGGGGAGCACTGCCAGGAGTTCATGTGTGGTTTCCCTCTGCACCCAGCTGCCTGACTCACAGAAACAGCTGCCTTAAAAATCTAATTTTTCTTCTTTCTCCCTCTTACCCAGACAAGGAAAACAAAGAGCCCTCCCCAAAAAGGAGAGGGAAATAAAATGGTGAACCCAGACAATAAAAACAAAAATGATGGTTGCTATGGACTGAATATTTGTATCATTCCTCATCCCCCAAATTCCTATGTTGAAGCCCTAATGCTCCCCATGAGTAGTATTAGGAGATGGGCCTTTGGGAGGTTAGTTTAGATGTAGTTATGAGGGTGGAGCCCTCACGACGGAATTAGTCATTTATAAGAAGAGACATGATTATTCTCTCCCTCGCATCCACTCTTCTGTGAGGCCCAAGGAGAAAGCAAGCCCCACAAGGAAGAGATCCCTCTCCAGATCCCAACCAGGCTGACACGTTGACCTTTACTTCCAGCCCCCTCAGCCCTGAGAAACCTCTCTCATGCTCAAGTCACCCCAGCCAACGAGCAGACGAAGACAGAGACGATAATGGCTAAGGTTTATAGAGGGCCTGCTCTGGGGCAGGACATTACATGCAGTAACCCACTGCATCACACAACATCCCATCCATATTTTTGCAAATGGCAAGATTTCATCTACTTCTTACGACTGAGTAGTATTCTGTTGTGTATATATACTAAATCTTCTTTATTTTATTTTATATAATTCTTACATCATTTTTCATTTTTGCACAATGTATGCATTTTCATTTTGGTTATACTACATCTTCTTAATCCACTTGAGCACTTTGATTGTTTCCATAACTTGGCTATTGTAAGGAGTACTGCCATGAACATAGGAGAACATACATGCTGAAACATTTCTTTTAAAATGCAGCTTCATGGGGTAAGAGTAAAGTGCCCTGTGTGTGTGTACATGTAGAGTGTGGCGAATGGTTTCATAATGTAGGTAGAATTTGTGCATATATCTATAATTAATATACTGTACTATGTTAAATAAGTATATTTATATGTAATATATAGTTAATATAATATACAGTTAATATATTATAGCTTATATAATATATTGGTATATTAATATCACCCACATAATTCATATCATTGTATTATAACTAATATAACTACTCTAATTATGCTATAATTAATATAACTACATTAGTAATAATATATGATATGCATACATATAGTTTTGCCAAGCCATTTGAAATTTACACTCAGTGACACTTCACCCCTAAATACTTAAACCTTCATTTCTTAAGAATAAATATGTTCTCCTACCTAACCATCTATCAGAGTCAAGAAATTTAATACTGATATTATGTAATATAGTTTGTATTCAAATTTCCTCGACTGCCCTCCAAATACTTTCATAGTTACAGTTTCAAATGCTTTAATCCAGGAGGTAACTAGAGCTCCCACATGAGGTTTGGCAGCCAAGTCTCTCTTGTCTCCTTAAATCTACAACAGTTTTCTTAACACTTTCCTTCCTATGATACATTTACAAGTCCAGGATGTTATCTTATGAAATGTTCCACAATCTAGATTTGTTTCCTCTCAATCAGTTTCTAATTAAATAACTCTTCAAATGGCACGGACATTCAAACTTATAGAAGCAAACATATCAGAAATTCATCTGACCAGGAATTTTAGAAATGCAAAGTAGAGAAGTCTTGACATATCACCAACACACCACTGAATACTTAATAAAGAAACAAACTTGTATTAAAATGAATTCTCCGGGCCTCCCTGGAGGAACAAGCACAAGGGGTTAAGACGCAACCTATAAAGCTATCTGCAGCCACTACTGCACGAGTTCGATCCCCAGCCAGGGAGCAACCCACATGATGCAGCAGACCTCTCCTGACTCACCCGCTGCTCCCCTCAGCAGTGTGTTTCAATCAATCTGCCTGTTCTGTTCCCCACTATGTCTCTGGTGAATCCTCTCACCCTCCACACCTCTTTCCTATACCCCAGTTCTTGCATGTATAAGTAAATAAATCTTTTTTAAAAAATGAATTCTCCACTCTGGGGAAGACTAGTAGGAAGCTGATTTATTCATTTGATCCTGGAGGCAACAAGACATAATGTAATATAGCATTTTCAGAAGGCATTATCACAATAAACAGCAAATGCCAAAAGAGAGTCACATCCTTTGCTTTATCAATTCCTTAGGAATTCACTGTCTAAGTCAATAATTAAAGAGAAACTAAAAGCTATATACTTACAGATATTCCCCATTGCATATCTAATATCAGCCAACTTGAAATACCTTGCATGACAAACATTAGGAGGATGGTCTAATGGATCCAAATAGATTTATAATAATTTAAAATGGTGAGGGACGACTTTGAAGGAACATGGGGAAATGTGATATAAAACAGAAGGAGGAATAACACAGTCCTACGTGAAACATATTTGCAGGTTGAAGGTCAACATAAATAATTCAACAAGAATTACAAGGCTATGAAGATGATGGATTGTGTATTTTGATCTTTGAAGAAAATGTTCTCTAATGCTCTTTGATGAGTTTTTAAAGCAGTTCTCTACCTAAAGCATCAGGGAATGAAAGGGTGCCCCCTGTTGTAGGAGTGAGAACATGGCGCAAACAAGGTGGAGAGGCACCAGATGTTGTCAGGGAGAGCAGGAGAGACGAGACAAATCGACCAGCATCCCAGATGCTTGTGGTTCTGAGCTGGGTGAGGAGTTGGCTTGTGCACCCTCTGAAGCGTACTCATTGCTGTCACCGGGCGCGCCAAGCCAAGGCTACCTGGCCCAATAGTTCATTTGTTGCAGCCTCTGAGGTGACAAAGCTGGCTTCCTCTCAGAGGACAATCAGGACTTTTCCAGATCCTCTGTTTTGTGGCTACATCTGCCACACAGCAGAAGGGGCAAGTCTGAATCAGGGAGAGGCCAACACAAAGTTAGACAACTTCTATGAAACCTTCCATGGAAATGAAGACCTGGGCTGGTCAGATGCCACAACAAGAATTCACAAAGGCATGAAACAAAGCAAGAGTGTCCCTGCAGCAGCCAGAGGGGGCACAGAAAGCCGCCTCCAGTGACACACCAGGCATGTTTTCTACTTGATACACTGAGTCTAAAAAACCAGACTTCTGGAGATTTTATACTAATGGTGATCGCATGGCCCCAGGCTCAGAAGAATGTATACAGCCTGCAGGCAGGTGGCAGAAGAAGAACTGGGTGTCCCCACCTTGCCTTCATCTTCCTGTTGATCTTAACTCACCTGGTCCCTTGTCCTCCAACTGAGCCTCTCATTCTAGATCAAAGGAACCATCTGGTCTAGAGGCAGAACTCTGGTCTAGAACATTCTGGGAGAGGCACCAGACCAACACCCCCCTTTCTGACCTGATTCTTGAAGGTTACCCCTGCTTCAGCTTCTCCAGCACAAAATGGGGACAGGACTGAGCACCATCCCCCACACAGGTCATAGGCACCCTGACCTCAGTGGTCGCAGATACCTTTCAGCGTAGGAAAATCTAGCAGGGAATTCCTAACAGGCCCAGGCTTGTGAGCTCCTGGATGACTGTGCTTCCAGCCAGGATGTGTGTGGCAGAGGCTGCCAAGCCCAAGGATCTATCGTGCCCAAGACCCTTGACCCAGGAGTCCGACTAGACAAATGTGCATGCCCACCCACCTCTGGGCACCCCGTCATTCCTCAATGCAGGAAAAGCACCTCGAAGTTCAGGGCACACAGAGGGCACAAGGAAGTATGCCCTGGGCTTGTTTTAATTTTTCCTTCCCTCCCTCTTTTTACCTTTTCCTTCTATGAGTATGTTTAAACTAGGTGTTAGGAGATTGTACAAATTTGTCTCTGCCCCAAACCTGCTTCATGTCTGAAAACACAAAATTTGATCTCTTTGGGCCTCTGTTTTCTTATCTATGCAATGGCTCGCCCTAACCCCATGCTGGTACTCTTCCTGGTGCCAACAAGACACCTCTTCACTGAGGGAGGGTGAAACAGCCTCAACCTCTGCCTGCAAAACCTACACTAATACTCCTTGTTGCCTCTTCCCAGCTGGGTGCAGCTGCCTTCAGATGCTCCACACCTGATACTGTGAGTGAAAGAGAGAGCTGGCATCCTCTCCCCCAGCACACTTGGGGGCTTCAGAAAGCAGACCCCAGTGGAAAACCACTGGGAAGACTGGGCTGCGCAAGGCTCACCTACTCAGCTCTGGGACAGAGGCATGAGAAATGTTTGGTTTGAGGAACCTGGTTTGAGGAAAGTCTGGGGGCGGAGGAGGCTCTTCAGAAAGCTTTTCTTAGAATCCACACAATGACAATCCAGTCCTCAAGGCAGGTAATTTCACAACACAAAGAAAACAATACAAGCAGTCTGGTATTTTTGTCAAAATAACCATCAAACCTTGGACATTCAGAAGCTGAATAGTAACAGCTACAAGGATGGGGCTGCTGCTATGCTGAGTCCTAGTCCAAGCATCTCAGATCCATGAGGGCTACCCCATATACTCGAGGTACATTCTATACACACGTGGTGCCATTCCACATCCACGCGGTACTGTTA